TGGTCCCGAGGTGGCGCGCGTTTCCACGCGCTCTTTAACCGGAAGTGCTCGAACTGGATTGAATTCTTTCAAGCAGATGACGCTCGTCGGGGGATGAGGGGCGGGGGCATTGCCCACGCTGCGCGTTTAGACCGCGTCTACTCCAACATTCCAGCGGCGGTCGCGGCTGACCTCGCTATTCGTGCTTCAGTTATAGGTATGCTCTGCCAGGCCCGTGTCTTTGATCATATCCCAGTGTTGGTCGTAATAGACACTTTCAAGCCCCCCGCTGGCCTGAATAGCGGGGCCCCCAACTGGATTAGCAAGAACGAAGTCTATCAAGAACTACCTGTCATGGAGCTTAGCAACAAAGCCGTGGAGCTTCATTCACTAAATGCTGCTGATGCTCTGAAGGCTGTTAAGGCTAGCATGTGCTCAGTGGTCAAGCGCGCGGCACCTCCTTTCCAATCAAGTTGCCTCGACATTTATTTTGAAGCATCACTGGTGTATGGTAGCCCTGAGGGGGATGCGTGCACAGCAGGGCCGCATGGTGTGCAAGGCTGTCAGTTGCTATCCCGAGCTTCAGAGGTTCTTTGACTGCGAGACCCTGCTCAGTCACGACCGCCATGGTCTTTGTGAATTGACGCCGGAGATTTATGTTAATATTTTAACTGAGGAGGGGAAGGAGATTGGGAACGATAACGGCGTGAACGATGATACCAAGAAAGCTGCACTAGCAAAACTACGGAGGAAGATGGAGCTTTGGAGGACATTCAGAAGGCGAGCCTATCTCACTGCCGTACTAGACGCTAACGGAAGCCCGTGTACTACACTCCAGCAGTCGGCCAACGTGCTTGCTGAATCTGGGGGAAGTGTTTTTTTTTTCTCCGCCAGCTACGGAAGATCGTTCCATGTGGGCGGACATTCTGAGACATGTTCAGATGGTTCCCGAGGACCTCGGGGCTTCCTGGAAGGTTGAAGATGCTATTTTTTGAACATATACGACACTGCCGTAACCCGATGCCTGGACCTGACGGTATCCCATTTGCGTGCTGGCGAATTGGAGATGCGCCGAGATACCTCTACACATTCTATACTGATATGACCAATGGGATTTTTTTTCAGAGCTGCCTGACGATATGGGGAGCTACCGATGGTTTTCTTATGCGCGCGCCCGCTCTCCATATCTAACACCAATGCGAAGATCCTCTCTGCTGTGTTATGCCACCCATTGAGTGAGCTCTCTAAAGTGACTGTCGCACCCCTCCAGAAGCGTGGCTGCAACAAGAGTTGCTCGCACGTGACTCGGCTGCCATCCTCTCGACTGGTTTCTCCGCTGTTTTCCCGTCGCTTCTGCGCGTTTGGATGTTTGCCGTGCTCAATGCTATGAATGCCCCCTCCTTCATCACTAACTTCTACTTCATGCCTTATAAGAATAGCCAGGGCGCGGTAACTCTTGGCGGACAGAAGTTCGGAAGCTTTCCTACCCGGAGGGGGGGTGCGTCAGGGCGACCCTGGCTCTATGGCCCTCTTCTGTCTTTGCATTGGCCCTGTATTGCGATGGCTACAACAGACCCCCCCCCCCCCCCCTGCCCATGATGCTCTGTGCCTAGCATATGCTGACGACTGTCTTTTTGGAATGGTGGATGTATTTCGCTTGGCTACTGCCGTGTGGCGCATGCTTCTCGCCCTCGAGTCAGCTATTGGGCTGGCGCTCAACTTTCGAAAGTGGACTGTTCTGACATGTGGGAGAGTTAGGAGGGAGGAGGTCAGTGACATGATGTCCAATGAGGCGAGGGGTTTGGAGTTGGCGGGGGCAAGTTCTGCTATCAAGTACTCGGGGCTGTATATTTGCCCAGGTGCTGCTGGCGTGGCATGGAGCGCCCCGCTGTCGAAATTTGTTGCAAGATGTGCGATGCTCCGACAGCTCGCCCCTGGATGTGCGATGACAGTTTCTACCTTTTTGGTCATCTGCCTCTCGGTGCTCCAGTTTGTCATCCAAGTTGAACCAGTCCCGAAACAGGTCATGCAGATATACAAGCACATGCTGCAATGCCTTACGAATGGCCCTTACAATGCGTTCTCGTATAACATGCTTGTCTCGCTCCAGAAGCTCGGTTTCAGTGTCGAGCCCCCAGATCTTGTTGCTCTCTCGCGTGCCCGCCGCGCCCGTCTTGCTGTGAAGCGTCCTGGCATTCGCGAGTGCTGGGGCGAGCTGCTGAAGCTCGCTGAGAGCAACGCAATCTGTCATGCCAGAGTTGTCGACCCACGGGGATGGTATCGCAGGTCGTTTTTACTTAAGATGTTTGAGGTGGTGCAGAGTGTCCTGAATATTGTGCAGCTCTCCAGTCTTCCCCCTGTTACTCTCTAACGGAAGCTCTAGCCCCGTCCTCGCGCCCTTCCTCTTCCTGGACCTAGGGCGTTTGAAGGCCTTCAGTATCGACTGAGAAAGTGGCTGCCTGAAGTGGATTGCAGTAATCTCTCCCATCTTGTCCTTCCCCTTACCATGCCGCGTGTGTTCTTCGTTTCTGCGCGCGTGCTGTGTGCGCGAGTGCTCGCTTCCACACTCATCATCGTGGCTGTATCTTTGGGTGTGCTCATCGGGAATATGGGTTTGATATGTATCGGGACTATGATGATCGACGTCATTGCAAATTCTGCCATCGCTTCCGCGAGTTATGCGTCCAATGGATGGGCGCTGCGTTTCCAATTGCCCCTGTGATGATTCCATGGGTTGCCGCGCTGATTCAGCTCTATCCTCTTCCCCCGAATGTGTCGCTGCTGTGTGCCTGCATGTGTGATGCTTTCCTGCGTGCTCACCACTGTGTGAGGCTGGGCCTGCCTGGCACGGCCCGGCAAAACTTTGAAGCTCGCCTCCGTCTTTTGACTCGGAGGCATGTGGCTGTTGCCGAGGCGTGGGTTGACCTCCGTGCAGGGCCCGGGTGGCTTGTCCCCGCTGGTGCGTCTTTTGGGGGCCGAAAGAGCTCCGTCTCAGGGTATGCAATGAACTTCAGGGGCGGTGTCGTCTCTGAACGCTGGCCTTTGGCTCTGGCCGCTGTGCCACTGGGGAGGTGGCGCGGCATTCATCCTCTGATCGTGGCCCGCGGACGCTGTGCGGCCAAAGCCAAAGCCCTCGCAGTGCCCGGTTCCGGAGCTGCGGGGGCGGCGGTTGAGGCCCCGTGGCTAGTGTCGCATTGGAGCGGAGACGACATGGCGACAAGGCCAAAAAAATGTTCCTCCGCCCACCCAAGCAGCACGAAACTCAATTGAGCTTTTTTGTTCGGGGGGGGGGGGGAATAAGTGGAAGGATGATCTGAGGGGGCGAGGAGGATGAGCGGGCCGAGGAGGATCAGCTGGATGGGGGGGGGGGGGGAGGAGTAGGAATACAATGAGGAGCAGGAGCTGGAGGAGGATGATAAGGGAGTGGGTACATGTTACGATTCATTGGTCCTCCACAGTTTTCATACTCTTTTGCTCACCTCGTGTCTGGGAGAAGGGCAACCTTTTTATACTTACCACATGGCCACTCGAAGCGCGCCCCTCGTCGAAATTCGCGCGACCTGCACATCCAATGTCAGCTGGCGCGAGCAATGGCTCCTGTTGCGCCGCATTCTATAGACGTCTCTAAGATTTGCCAGCAACGCAACACCCGCAGCTGCAAATGCAATCAGTCATGGCGCATTCCATGGTCCCCAAGTAGCAGCGAACATAACTACTCTGCCTCGGCTTCCTGGGTGCACATCTGGTGTGCCAATGTAGTAGTCAGCTCTATGCCAGCGCGGGCGCGAAGTTATGCAGCAGGACGCAGCAGCTGAACATTCATGCATTTTATGGAGTGAGCCATGACCTCAGCAATGCCGAATTCAAGAGAACACGCGTAGGCTTCGCGCTAGCACACCGTTTGATGCGGTAGGGGTTGCGGAACAGCTGCTAGCGTGCCTTTTCGCGTGCAGCCAGTCGACGGACCAGTATTTGATCTTCTTGCACGCAGCCTACGAGCAGCACCTGTCGTGCACGAGCGTGTTCACGTTGGGGCGCTTCTTGAGGGCCCACGTCAGGGCTTGCGCGGATGTAAAGCAAGGTGATTGCAATGCCATCCGATTGCAATTCGCTGCGATTGCAATGCGTTGTTGTTGCAATGCAGTGCGAATGCAATGCGAATACAATGCGCATGCAATGCGATGCAATGCGATGCAATGTGATGCGATGCAATGCAATGCGGTGCAACGCGATGTGCGATTGCAATGCAAAGCCGCCGATATCAAACCATCACCAGGTCCCTCCTTATCGTTCTCCCCCTCCTCATGCTCGATGGGTTCCGGCTGCTGTTTGTTTTGGCATAAGGCTGGGATGCTTCGACCACGTTCGCATGGCATTCGCGTGAAGATACGGGGCCAATATCCCTCAATGAGGAGTGGGACGAACGATGATGGACTGACATTTTCCTCCCCCTCGCCCTCCCCCATGCTCATAAACCTTTTCCACATTCCTATTCCTTGTCTCCCTCCCTTCACCTCTGCCTTCTCGGTGGGGGCTTTCGCATCGAGATCCCTCGAACATCGTCCTCGGAATTCTAACCCCATGCCGTCTGGCACAGGGCGGAGATTTCGAGGACCATGCTCGGGGGGGCGCTGCTTGCGAAGAGGTTGGCGAAGAGAGAGAGAGAGAGGGGTAGACAGAAATAGTGATAGAGAGAAAGAGGGATATACATACACATATATATATACATATAGAAAGAGAGAGAGAGAGAGAGAGAGAGAGAGAGAGAGAGAGAGAGAGAGAGAGAGAGAGAAAGAGAGAGACAGAGAGAGACAGAGAGAGACAGAGAGAAAATGATATCATAATAGAAAGGAACAGTTGAGGATCACGATAAGGAGAACGAAAAAAGCTCGAACACACTTTGAACAAGCACGAACGCATGGCAAGCGTCCGCTCACAACAGCGAGGGGCGCCACAATCCCCCGGCCTCTCCGTCCTCCCCCCTGCTTCCCCGCCTCCTCATGAGCCGTGCTCCAGCGCAGGGCACCGCCGTGTTGCCATCGCCGTCGCCTCGCTCGTGATCCGCGGCCTCATATATCAGAACAAAGGAGGCCTCATGTATGTATGTGCATGCATGTATGTATGTGTGTAAGCATGTACGTAGTATTATGAGTCGTCTTCGTCGCATTACTAGCTGTATGTTATCACTGTTATGGGAAGACGGGGAGATCGATGGGGGAGCAGGAGCAGCAGCGGCTGCAGAAGCAGGAGCAGGCGCAGGACCAGTGGCTGGGAGGCAGGAGCCAGGAAATGTCAGGAGGAGGACGAGGAGGAGAAGGAGGAGGAGGGGGAGGACGAGGAGGAGAAGGAGGAGGAGGAGGAAAGGGAGAGATATGAAGCACATGGCGCGAGGCCCTCCTGGGTGTTTCCGTACCACCTCCAAGCTTGTCTGCTTGCAGCGGAGTGATCGTCGTTGTTTGTGTCTCCCTCGGCTAAGTTCGTGTGGTGTGAGTATGGCGTGGCATAGGGCGCCACGTACTTCGTGTGAGTGCCATCCAAGGGTGCTCGTAAGGCGAGGCTCGCAAAAAGGGCCTCTCATCTATTTGAAGCTGCCGAGCGGGGCCTTCACTTGCGCAATTCTGTGGGGGCTCGGCAGTCTGCGCTTGCAAAGAGCAGTACTCCTTCGTCGACACGCTCTGCAAGCTTCGGTTGCGAGTGTCAGGGGATCTTATTGTAGGGGGGCGCTCAGGAACATGCTCGGCGCAGGTCGACACGTGTTTGCTGTATGCGGGGGGGGGGGGGGGTCGCACGCACAACAGCATCGTGTCTGATCCGAGCGGCGCAACATTTCAGAACCTGTGGCCAGCATCACTGGCGGCAGGATATGCACGGCAGCGGAGCGCGGAGAGGAAGCCAGGCGTCTCTCCCATACAGAGCCACGCATTTGTATCGAGTCGTGCGCACTGGCACTTCGAGACGCAGCATGCGATTTCCCGACCTCCACAATTCGCACGTCATACCTGCAGCGACAGCTGTTCCAGTCTCTTGGGACACGATCTGACCGAATCGAATAGCGAATGCACAATCAAAGCCGATGCCCGCCATCCACTGCGTTTAGCGTGTCGATCTTAGCGACCTGTTCAGCTGCTACTCTCATTGGCTCGCGATTCCCCCTCCGTTTCCCTTTCTTTAATCATCCTTCTGCTCTGAAGGGGCCAGGAGGTTTTTGTGCCATGTCGCGACTGGCGCAGAGGGCAGATTGGAGAGGAGGCCTGAACAAACTGCTTCCAGGGCCCTCCGATGCGGCGCTGTGCTGCTCTGGAGCTCGCGCAGCAGGGGCGGCATTGCATTGCACGGCTGACGCCTGATTGAGGGAGACGGGAGGAGAGGGGGGAGGGGAACCAGAGACGGGGGTCCAACATGGAGCATAGGTAAGATTGAGTTGGGACGTGGCGTGGAGCTGGGGTGCGGGTGTGGGGGTGGAGGAGGTGTATCAGCAGGAGCAGGATGGGGAGGAGGAGCAGGAGGAGCAGGAGGAGGAGGAAGAGGAGGAGGAGGAAGAGGAGGAGGAGGAGGAAGATGAGAAGGAGGAGGAGGAGGCAGAGGCGGAGGCTGAGGCGGAGCATGAGGCGGATGAGGGGGAGGGAAACCAGGATGATGTTGTTGCCGATGATGATGATGCTGATGATGATGCTGGTGATGCTGCTGCTGCTGATGATGCTGGTGATGATGATGGTAGTGGTGGTGGTGCTGATGATGCTGATGATGCTGATGATGCTGATGATGATGACGGTTGTGATGATGGTGGTGGTGGTGATGCTGCTGATGATGATGATGATGATGATGGTGGTGGTGGTGGTGATGCAGATGATGATGAGGATGATGGTGGTGGTGATGATGATGTTCATGGTGGTGGTGGTGGTTGTGGTGGTGGTGATGATGGCGATGATGCTGCTGATGATGAAGGAGGGGTAGGATGAGGAGGATGAGGAGGAGGAGCAGGAGGAGGAGGAGGAGGGGGATGAGGGGGCGAGGAGGAGGAGGAGGAGGAGGAGCAGCAGGAAACGGACGAGGGGGGCAGAAGGGTAAGAGGAGCAGGAGGAGGAAAGTGGAGCAGCATCATCAAGAGCGGTCGGAGGGCGTGCGCTCGGCTGGTCTTTCATTGCCAGAGTGGCCAGAACGACCAGACCGCGCCCACGGGGCGGCTGGTGGATCAACGGCGTCCGCACAGCTCTGCCTCGCCACTCTCAGCTTGTGACCCAGCGGCTCCGCCGCTGTCTTGCTCTCCTCCCCCTCGTTGCCTTTCTTCTCTCGTCTCGTTCCTCATCTCTCCTCCTCTCTTCTCTCACATTCTCTCCTCTCCTCCCTTGTCTCCTCTTTCCTATCCTCTCTCCTGTCCCTCCTCTCCTGTCCTCTCCTCTCCTCTCCTCTCCTCTCCTATCTCGTCTCTTTTCTTATTCTCTCATGTCTTATTAATTTTTCTCCTCTCTTCGTCACAGTTATTACTGCACATGAATACTACTTTGGTCTCTCCCCCGAACCTGTCCAAACGGTATCCCGCCCTCTCCGCGCATGGTTTCTTTTACGCAGGATCTCAAACATTCACACGTGCCGTCTTCTGTGTCTCAAAACGGTGCTCCCGCTGCAGCGTGACCTCATTTCAGGATCGGCGCTTTGCTCTCGTCGTTCAGAATGGTGGTCTCGCCCCAGCGCGGGATATTTTTCCGGATCCGAATCCTTTCTCACCGTTTTCGCCCCGCTCCTTTCCCCTCCCCCCCTTCCCCTGGCCATCCTGCTTCTCCCGCTCATCCCACTCCTGCTCCTGCTGCTGCTGTTCCTCCTCGTCCTTCTCCTTCCCCATCCTCCTCTTCGTCTTCCTGATCATCCGCCACGTCGCCCAATCAACGCAGCTTCCTGATCTCTGATTGCGCGCAGCACGATAGCGTCCTGGGGGGGGGCTCCACGTCAGCTGCGACACCAGTCGGCATATCCATATGTAAATATACATATTTAAATCAGCGCAAAGGGAAGGGATGGACGGGAGGGATCGGTTGTCAGATATGGCACGAGCGCCCCTAGCTTGTCTCCTCTCCCCTTTCCTCTCTCCTCTCCTCTTCTCTCCCCCCCTCTCCCCTCTTCTCTCCCCCGCTCCCCCCAGAAGAGCGGACAGAGCAGGAAACGGGACTACGCATTCGTGGGTGGCGGGGGGAGGGGGCATCGTCTCTTGCTGCTGCGACAGGTGGCATGGGGCAGTGCAGTGGGAAGCAAAGCGCAGCAGTGCTAAGCGACGCAACGTAAGGTACACTCTAAGGCAACGCAACGCAATACGAGCATTGGCAACACAGCGCCATTGAGCAACATGCGGCAGGCTCAGGCAATTCGGGGCAACGACATGCCACACACTGCGAATGAAAGTGAAGCAGTGCGAACCACATCGGTGCGATGCAGAGCATGTTGATTGATCGACCTGCGCAGCACCGCGCTCTTCTGAACAGTTCTGCGTTGTAAATCGCAGCAGTCCAAGTCAAAACAACGCCAGGACATGTGACTTAGTTAGGCTTGAGGAGTTTGCTCTAAGGTTCAGCTTGTCCGTCGGCTGGCATTTTCTGTTCAACCCGCAAGCAGTTGTTGGGTCGTGTTGGGCTCATTTTCCACAGCGCGGTTGCTGGGACCCACCAGCGCTTTCGGGCCGTAGGCTTGGAGTGGGCCGCGTATTCGCCTTGTGTGTTTGGTCGCATCGCCGAATCTGTGCATTGTGGTCTATGCAGCCCTCTGCCTTGGATTCCCATGCAGGATGTGTTTTTGTTCCAGTGCCACGAAACACCGCGATTGAATGTTTCTGTTGCGTCGCGTCCTGGCAACTCTAAATCGTACCAGAACACCATTTCTGGAACTTCAGCCATACGAGCCCTTCAAACTGTTGCAGACTTTTGTGTATCGCATGTGCGCGGTGGTAAGGCGAACGCCCCATGTTGAAAATGAACCGCCCTCCATCCGTGAAGCTTTTGCGACTTTTGCGGCGAATGTGTGCGGCGCTGCGGCGAGAGTCACATTTTGACAGCGGCCCGCCCTCCATCCTGAAAGCTGCTGTGAACTTTTAAGACGCATGCGCGCGGCGCCAAGGCGAGATCCACAAATTGAAAATCACCCGCCCTCCATCCGTGAAGCTGTCGTGAATTTTTAAGACGAAGGTTCGCGGCGCTCAGGCGAGAGCCACGCTTTGGAAGTTGCCCGCCTCCTGTTGTCAAGCTGTTGCGGATGTCAGTCTTCTGGATCGTAAACGGTGAGGAATCAGAGGAAGCCTCAGGCGAAACGCCTGGCCCGCCCTACCGACACGTGTGGGGGTGCGGCAGGGAAGAGTTGTTGGTAAGGAAACGTGTGGAGGGTGGGGGCAGGAGAAGGAGGAGGAGGAGGAGGCGAGGAGGCGAGGAGGAGGAGGAGCAGGAGGAGGAGGAGGAGGAGGGGCAGGAGAAGGAGGAGAAGGAGGAGGAGGAGGAGGGGGCGAACGAGCAGGACGAGGACCAGCGAGAGGGACGCACACAGGAAAGCGTGGGATGGGCCCCGGGCCCCGCCCCTGCGAGAGCCTGCGGGGGCTGCCTGGGCCCCCTGGATGCCGACATCAGCGTCATCGTCAACGCTTTCGTCACCTCCATCGTCAGCGTTGTCGCCATCGTCAGCGTCATCACCCAACGCCATCTCCATCGTCAACTTCATCGTCAACTCCATCGCCCTCGTCAGCGTTATCGTCATTGTCGTCGTCCTCCCCAGGGCCACCGCCGCGGGTTCGTGGCGGCTCCCGGGGCCATGGCTCGCGCCCGCGGCCCCCCGGGAGCCAGGCCCGAGGCATGCCGGCATGAGGGCGGCATCCCGCCCCAGCCGGGCTCTCCCTGCGGGAAGCGTCTCGGTCGGGCCTCAGGACGGGTGCCCGCGGGCTCCTCTCCTCTCGGCCTGCGCGCTCCCCCGGGATCGTCAGGAGCCTGTCCCTCATGCCCCAGGAGGGGTGGGCGACGTCGGACCAGGAGCAGGTCAGCAGCGAGGTCAACGAGGACGTGCAGGACTGCGACGAGGAGCTCAACAAGCGGGCGCCCCGGAAGCCCCGTGCCTTCTGCCGCTCCCCCTCCCCGCCTCTGCTGCTCCGCGCCTCCTGTCCTGCCTCTCCCCCCCCCCCCTGGGGCTCTCCGAAGAAGGGGGAGCAACGTCTGCCAGCGTGGGCCCCAGTCAGTGCACGACTGCGCCCTGGACGCGCGGGCTCTGCGGTGCAGTCTCTGTGGCGCAGCTCGCCTGTCAATCCTCCGGCCAAGGCCACAGCTCGTGCAGACATGCCGCCCGCCCGCCCGCAGCTTGTGGGCAGAGCTCACCTGGGCAGCGACAACGATGGGGACGATGACGATGATGTTGGTGACGGTGGTGGTGATGATGATGATGAAGCTGGTGGTGATGATAATGACCCGGCGCTGAGGACGCTGGTGATGATGATGTGTGGGCGCACAGAATTGCGAGGAAGGCGGTGACATAGATGACGACGAAGATGGCGGTGGTGATATTGACGACGGCGATGATGTTATGATGATGATGATGCTGATGATGATGATGATGACGACGACGATGACGATGACGATGACGATGATGATGATGAGCATGATGATGATGATGATGATGATGATGATGATGATGATGATGATGATGATGATGATGATGATGATGATGTTGATGATGATGCCGATTGCAATGATGACGCTGGCGACGATCATTGATCGAGTGTGCAGATGAGGATGATGAGGAAGTGCGCGCTCGCAGAAATGTCGGGTTATCGAAGTTGCCATTGATGGACCTGGCGTGATCCCATTTAGGGAAACCTTGCTAAGGACGTACGAAAGCAAATAAGACATTGCTTTGCATTATTTCGATGTGCTTGCTTAGCATGGCTTTGCATGCTTGGCACTGCTTGGCATTGCTTGGCATTGCTTGGCATTGCTTGGCAGGGATTGGCAATGGCTGGCATTGCTTGACATTGCTTGGCATTGCTTTGTGTTCATTGGCATTGATTTGCGTGGCTTTGCATTGCTTGCCATCTGTGGCGGTGCTTGGCGGGTTTTGGCAACCAGACAGCGGGCAACCCTGGCAACACGGGCAACTGGGCAATGGGGCAGCCGGGCAACTTGGGCAGCCTGGGCAACCCAGTGTCTTGGGCAAATTGGGCGAGCCGGGCAAACCAGCAACCGGACAGCCAGTCAACCGTGCAACCGGGCGATTGCATGGGCAGTTGGGCAGTCGGGCAGCCCGAGGGAGACCGGGCAACCGCGGGCAACCCGGCAACCAGGGGCTGGCGCAGGCGCTACCCTTGCCGATCAACGATGCAGGCAACTAGATGGGCGGAGAAGGAGCTGAAGGAAGAGGTACCTATACCGTTACATTTCCCTCGTTTGCAACTTTTTGGGGGCCTCCTGGGAGGCCACGGCCCTCGTCGCAACCGCTGGATTCGCCTCGAAAGTCCAGCGGGGACGCGCCCCGGGAGAGGTCCGGGAAGCAGTGGTAGCAGTACCTTTTGGTCTCCCCAGGTTTTTCGAAGCAAGAAAGAGTCCCTCAGGCAACCCGAGTTGGGGGGGACAGCATGGATTTTCGTATGTGTTTGAGCACGGGTTTGTGCTGAACTGCTCAGAATACCGAAAGCGCTCGGAGATGCGCGCATGCGGCCCGCATGGTATTGTCTGACAGTGGGCGGGCGCGTGGTGGTTGTTGGAAGTGATAGTTTTTGAAACCGGTGTGTGAAGATGATTTGAACTTCGATTTCTCCGTGATGACTGTTGCATTGCGCGGAGCCGCGTACTCGTGCCCAGCAGCGTACTTGTTTGCAAGGGGTTCTTCGACCAAATATTACTCTTCTTACAAAACGCATGTGTGCTGCATGGTATCTTTGGCATGGCATGGCGGGGGGAGGGTCTATACCATCCTGGACAGACAGTGCCCCAGGAGGAGCGTTAAGTCTGGCCTCGGGGAGGGGGGGGGACATTTTTAGACAGAGAGTACCTATGAGATGCAAGCTCCCTGGAAGCGGCGTCTCTGGCGCCGCCCCCTGACGCGCTCCGCCAGCGCCGGTCCGAGAAATCTGCGCGGACTTCACCAGAGGACCTGCTACGACCAGGATGGTCACGACAAGGAGAACGAGCAGGAGGAAGGGGAGGAGGGACAGGAGGAGGAGAAGGAGGAGGAGGAGGAAGAGGAGGAGCAGGAAAAGGGAGGGCGGAAGGTGAGAGGATGATGATGATAAGGAAGATGAGAAGAGGGGTGATCATGATAAGGATGATGATGATGCTGATGCTGATGCTGATGATGATGATGCTGATGCTGATGCTGATGCTGATGCTGTTGCTGATGCTGATGCTGCTGCTGATGATGATTATGATGATGATGATGATGATGATTATGCTGATGCTGATGCTGATGCTGAAACTGATGGTGCTGCTGATGATGCTGCTGGTGATGCTGCTGCTGCTGCTCATGATGCTGATGATGCTGCTGATGATGATCATGCTGATATTATGGTTGCTGCTGTTGCTGCTGCTGTTGTTGCTCTTGTTGTTATTATTGTTGTTGTTGCTGCTGTTGTTGTTGTTGTTGTTGTTGTTGTTGTTGTTATTATTGAATCTCATTTCTGAAGAATAATTATTGTTGATCCCCCCACACCGGTGCTTATTGTTTTTCTCAATCAAAGTGTGCCCCTCGACGCTCGCACCCTGTTCTTTGACAGGGAAAGTCTTCCTGCTCAAACTGGCCCCCTGGCCCCTGGGTTACAACAACAACGGCTCCCGCCTGAGACTTCCTTACAATTTAGCCAGGACCCCCGCTCCCGCCCGAGCTCGCATTCTATTCAGGAATCGCGCTCTCGCTTGGGACTTCCTCGCAATTTATGCAGGAATCGCTCTCCCGGCGCTCTGGAGTCGCGCTCTCGCTGGAGACTTGCTTGCAACTTACTGAAGAATGGCCTTGCGTTGGAATTTCTAGCAATTTGCCCAAGCGCCGCGCTCCCGACACCCAGGCATCCAGGAGTCGCGCCCGTTGTGGCCCCATGTGCGTGCCCTTCGTGGCCCCGCTGTCGCCATTTGTGTCCCCCTCACTGTCCTACGTGGCCCAGTTGCTATCCTCAGTGGCCCCATAGTTGTCTTCTGTGGCCCCGCATTATGTGCACTTCGTGGCCCCCTGTCGTTCGCGCTCTTCGTGGGCCCATACGCATTCCCTTCGTGTCCCCGCTGTCGCCCTTCGTGCCCTATTTCGTGTCCTTGTGGCCCTGCTGTCGTTCTCTCTCGCTCTCGCTTTCGCTCGTCGTCGCCGTCGCCGTCGTCTTCGACGTCGTCGTCGTCGTCGTCGTCGTCGTCGTCGTCGTCGTGGTCGTCGCTGCCTCTCTGTGGACCCCTGGGGCTGGTGGGCGCTATCAAATATTGCCCCGAGAAGAATCAATGGCCCAGGCAGCGAATCGTCGGCCTCCGGGCTGTCATGACTGCGCTCAGCGAGCGGATTGCCCACGAGCAGAAAAGGGTAACCACTGCATGAAGTCTGCAACGAGAACAGGCGCAGGAGGGAGCTGATTCTCCTAGCGTCGATCCATCAGCAAGCAGCAACGACGGGGGAGGCCCCGAGGGGCACAAGGGCGAGCAGGGGGCCACGCAAAGCAGCGAGAGGCGAACGGCGCACGCCCCAGCTTCCGCAAGCGGGAGCAGGGCGCGCACCGTTCACCAACCCACCGCAAGGAATAGCCCCCCGAGGGGAGGAGGAGGCCGGCGGCGGAGGAGGAGCGGGAAAGGCGAGAGGCGTGGTCGTCGTCGTCGTCGTCGTCGTCGTCGTCGTCGTCGTCGTCGTGGTTGGTCCCCTGTCCGTCCCTCTTGGGGTCGGGTCGACGGTCCGCGGCCGCCCCGCCGACGCTGCCGCTGGCCAGGCCGACGGTCCGCGGCCGCCCCGCCGCTTGCCGGGGCCCGGCCTGCAGGGAAGAAAGGTATACCCCCCAAAAGGGGTTCGATCGAAGACGAAGAGGGCGGATATCGAGGGTGTGGGAAATTCGCGTTTTTGGACACTCGAGCATATAAGGGTGAACAGTCTTCAAATGATTGTTGTTGTTGTTGCTGCTTTTGCTGTTGCTGTTGCTGTTGCTGTTGCTGTTGCTGCTGTTGCTGCTGCTGTGTTGTTGTTGTTGTTGTTGTTGTTGTTGTTGTTGTTGTTGTTGTGGTTGTTGTTGAACATTATTAATTCTAAAGAATAATTATTGTTGGGCCCCCTGGTGCGCGCCCCCCCTGCGCCGCCTAGGCCGCAGCTACATTTTCATCATTTTCGTGAGGAAGCCTCAGGTAATACGATGTCATCAAGATCCGGTTGTTTTGTTGTAATCCGTTTTCCCTTGCAAAAAACACTATAAAATGACATTTCTTGTTCTAATATAATCAAATTTCAAGAATCCCTTGCAAAAAATAAGGTAAAGTGGACATTCGCGCGCGCAAGACGAAATCCTTCCAAAAGCTTAGTGTTCGGAGCGATTTTAACATAAAAACATCAAAAAACCAATGGTTTTTCAACAAAAAAATGTCAAAATCTCATCCCGCGCGCTCTTGCGGATTCGTAGGAAACCCAACACTTTTTAAACATTTCTGTCAAACGGGCTTTTGCGAGCAACTTTTTCGAACTTCTGCGACAACGGTTGCGCACCTGCCAGGGCCATCATCCCTGTCAAATAATACCATGCGGGACACATTCGTTTTTTCTTCGCGCGCGCACGCCGAAATCTCTAACCCATCGGGACAACCATCGGGACAACCATCGGGACAACCATCGGAACAACCATCGGGACAACCATCGGGACAATCATCGGGACAGTCATCGGGACAACGATCGGGACAAGCACAACCATCAGGACAACCATCGGGACAATCATCGGGACAACGATCGGGACAACCACAACCATCAGGACAACCATCGGGACAACCATCGAGACAACCATCGGGACAACCATATCCTCTCTCTCTTGTGTATTCCCACATCCCTCAGGAATTTGCCCTAAAGATGTGATCAACTATCTTGTGAGTACGTATCATG